GTATGTTTACAATACTCAAGGGAACCTTAACCTTTAAAGCAATATCCTCTCTTGGAATGTCGTGCCTCTCCCTTGAATCTTTAGGAAAACTCGATTTGAGAAACCCATTTCTAGTTAAGGGGAGTTAATCCCAAACTCTAAGTCTTATTTTATGTAGTTTAACATAGAAAAATCAACTACTTGATTTTAAGTAGCAAAATTGTAAGATTTTTCTATAAAACCATGGTGTAGAAAACAGATTTCCTGTGTGAAAACCTCCTTTTGAACCCTAACTTTGGTATTTCATTTTGGGTAATAAAACCCCAATGATTCTCTAAATTGTATTACTAAAAATGAAATTTTGGGTATAAGGAACCAATAATTTAATGCAAAGATCATTTAGATAAAATTTTATAGTGAAAAGATGAGTAACTAAGCTTCTAGGGAATTTTTAAGATTTTACTATTATTTATGTATGAACAAGTGATATTGAACTTTATGATAGACCACTTTGTTATTACTAAGAAAGTGTGTATACTGGGTTGTACGATTAGGCTGAGTTTGGAAGTGTCTGACCTCCAGCACATTGTATTGATCTGTGTGGTGTGAAATTGTTTGAAAATCTTCTGTGTTAGATGAATGTTTATTAATAATTGAGGTATGTTGAAATGAAATGATATGACATGATAATGGAATTATGAGAAATGTGATTATAATGTGTGAGTCAGAATAGATTAATGGATGTGATTATGATACAAGTATTGTGGTACATCAAAAGGTGTACTCAATATATGTATTGTAATACATTAAGTTATATGATCAAGACTCATGCATTATGACACGTTAATATATGAGAAGGATATGAAAAAGAATCAGAATAGTTGAGAAATGCTAAGAGTAACTATAGATAGTTATAGAGATATATTAGGGGTATAGAGTTCGGAGAAGATTAGGAAAATCTTGGAAAAATTAGGGTAGTGAATACTAATTGTAAATGGGCACACAATGATTTGCTAAAAGTAGAAGCATTCACAGGCCACACACTTTTTTTCTGATGAGGCTCCTGACTATACCTTTGCTAAAAGAGGCTGTGTCAGCACATGTCTATATGTGTTGTTGTGGCTAACCAGCAGCTATCTATGCTAAGAAGTTCTTAAGGGATCCCAGGGGTAATGAATATGAAAGTGTAATGAATGTGAAATTGTGATGAACATGAAGTAGTATAGAGATTGTATGATTATAATATATGTATTGTACCATATCAATTAATATTGTAACATATTGTAACATATTGATTGATGTGATAGAATACATATATTATGACATACAGATTAGTGTAGAAAATGTATGTGATAAATAATTATAAAAATGATTGATTTGTTAGATGTATGCTCTGCTCTGATGATGATTTGTGTGTTTTGAGTATTATTGTTAATTAATGTGTGTTAGAAATATAATAGCCAATATTTTCTGTATTATAAAAATTTTATGTCAAGCAAAGAGATTTAGTAGGGCGGGAGATACTCACCCTTATTAATATTTTCAGGTAATGAAAGTGAAGAGATAAAGATGGTTGGTCTGTTCTAGGATTATAATCTAATGAGATTAGAAGGAAGGTTGCTCTGTAGGGACTAGAACAGTTTGAGAAATTATAATATTTTATCCTAATTAAATTTCATATTGACTAAGTTATGTAAATATTTCTTTAATGTCAAAATTTAGAATTTATAATGTTTTGGTGAATTTTATTGTAATAAATAATTTTGGAGATGTTCTTAATGATATTCTGAACTTATATGTATACCACATGAACCAGATAATGTGTTAGATGTGAATTTAAGTTTTATTTATTACTTTAAAGTCTCAAATTTATTTCTTTGAAGTTTTAAATACTTTAGAATCTTATAAAATTTTTATAAGAGGAATGTGAGTTTTGTTTTTATTCAATCTTTAAAATTATAAAATAAAACAGAACTAGCACCTTATTGCTTATTTCTATAAGAAACTTTCCCCTAGATCTCAAAAACAATTAGCATACATTAGGGAAATGCTAGCTATTACAGAGGCTTTAGCTAAATTTAGGCATTATCTCCTCAGGCATCATTTTATAATGGGAAATGATTAGAAGTGCTTAAAACACTTGAATGAGCAAATACTACAAACTCCTGAGCAACAAAAGTGGTTGTATAAGTTTCTTGGATTCGGCTTTCATATTGAATACAAGCTCGGTAGGGAAAGTGTGACTGCTGATGGGCTATCTAGGTCTTTTTGCATGCTTGGTCTAAACCAAAATTCTTATTTCTGCAAAAATTAAATCCTGCCTTGTTAGAAAATGACAAGTTGAAAAAGAAGATGCAATATTGTGAACATTGTAGTAACCTGAATTCTAGTTATTCTGTTAAAGACCAACTGTTATACTAGAATAATAGATTGGTTGTTCCTCCAAGTTCATCTTTGATTGAGAAAATCTTAGGAGAATACCACTCTTCCCTAATTGGAGGACATGTTGGTGTGGGTAGAACTATAGCCCGAGTTAAAGGTGAATTCTATTGGCCTAATATGAAAGATGATATTAGACGGTTTGTTCAGCAATGTGCAATTTGTCAATAAGTAAAGACATTGAATGTTTTTCCTGCTGGGTTATTACAGTCACTGCCAATTCCTCATCAAATTTGGGAGGATGTGGCCATAGACTTTATTACTGGCTTCCTAATTCTTGTGGTTACATAGTGATAATGGTTATGGTAGATAGGTTATCAAAATATGGTCACTTTGCTACACTAGAAACAACCTATACCAGTAAACAATTTGTAGAGTTGTTTATGATGCATGTGGTTGAACTTCATGGAATGCCTAAGTCTATAGTCTTTAATAGGGACAAGGTATTCATAGTCACTTTTGGCAACATCTTTTTAAACTGCAAGGCACTACTTTAGCCATGTCTTCCACATACCACCCTAAAACAGATGGTCAATCTAAGGCACTAAACAAATGCTTAGAGATGTATCTTTGGTGTTTTACTTATCAGAATCCTAGAAAATAGAATAAGGTATTGCCTTGGGTTGAATATTGGTATAACACTGCCTTTCATAGGAGTACAGGGATGACACCCTTTAAAGCTGTCTATGGTAGAGACCCACAATTGTTATCCAAGTATATAGCAGATGAGAATGATCCTCCTTAACTTTAGGAGTTGTTGCAGCAAAGAGACACTATATTGCATTAGTTAAAGTTGAATTTAAATTGAGCCCAACAACGCTTGAAGGTTCAAGCTGATAAAAAGAGAAGAAATGTTGAATTTTAGGTTGGAGATATAGTGCTAGTTAAATTACAACCGTACAAAAAACTGTCATTGGCTTTGAGAAAGAACCACAATTTAGGAATAAAGTATTTTGGACTTTTTCCTATCATAGAAAAGATTGACAAGGTGGCTTACAAACTCCAGTTACCTGACACAATGAAGATACATCTTGTTTTTCATGTTTTGTGTTAAAATTATTCAAGGGAGAGTATGTTACATCTTACATTCCTTTCCCATTGCTTAATATCGAGGAGGGTCCAATTTTGCAGCCCATAGCAATTCTACAATATCGTACTATATTGAGGGACACTCAAGCTGTTAAACAGGTCCTGGTAAAGTGGGAAAGTTTATAGGATCATGAGTCCACTTGGGAAGACATTGTTGTGATGGAAGAATACTATCCTAATTTTAACCTTGAGGAAAAGGTTGATTTCAATGAGAGGGGTATTGTGACAGGACTAGCTAAGGAGGATTACTACAAAGATATTGAGTTAGAAAAGGAGACAGCAAAGAGCCATGTCAACTCACATGAGAACAAAAATTCTATTTGCAGCAATGGACAACTGACAAATGATCTGAAAGTGAAAGAAATGAGTGCGAAAATGAGTGCAGAAAGGCAGAGAAAACTAAATTTCTAATTGCGTGATTATATTTGAAATATGTGAGTTATACAAAAGGAAAGAGGAAGGAAAAACATAAGAAATATTGTGACTTATTCTTCTTCCTCTTAAGTTTCTTCTCCCTATATTAGTGTGATTCTAAACATTCATTTTTTATACTATTTTGTATATGCTATAATATGATATAGTTATAACTTTTCTCATTATAAGAAACTCACGATAAATAATACAATATATAAAAAGTTTCATTCATAGCTTAATGAACAGTTTCAAGTATTACATTTCATTCAAAATGTTAGTTAGTAACTATATAAATTAAAAAATTTGATAAATTAAACAATATATTATGATTATTGACAGCTATATTGAAAATTTTGGACAGGTTATAAACATTGAAATAGAAAAATGTTAACTCCCCGTTACCCCACATGCACGACAATTTTATAAAATTAATTTTACATTTTTTTCAACCAAAATGATACATTTCTAATTAAAGGCCTAAAATAAATTAAATCATATTATAAGTATATATTAAAAATATTACTGTTATTTAGTATTATTAAACAAAAATATTTGTAACCCAAAATTTTCATTCTGCCTAATCTGATATTATAGCATTGATCTAATATTTATTAAAAGCTTCTTTCGTATAAATCGTACCAACGGGTGTTTCCTTTATAAAAAAAATTAAATGAAATACATTTATAATATTGTAAGCATGTATTATTCTTATTTTCATTTTTACAATTTGAAGTGGTCGCGACAAAATGATAGAGAATCTTGAAATGGTCCAAAATTGAAACGGAAAAGGCTCTACTAAATGGAAATGATTTTTAATTAAAAAACTAAATATATATATTTCAAAATATTGAAGCTTTACAGGACAAAGTTTTTATTATCTTTTCTCACTGGCCTATCGTCTCCTGCATAAGCATAACAATTAAACTGAAGTGTAGTCGATGTATAATTTATCACTCACGTCACCCTCATCTAGTGTTATGTATAAGTTCCCTGCTCGATAATTAAATTCTTTTAATTAAAAAAATCCATTCTTTTAACTGAAGAGTTAGTTTAAATTTGTATGGTACTAAAAATGAAGTGTATCAGCTCAGACGACAAGCTCTGCAACTTCAATAATTCAACGTGCTTTAATATTATGATGATGAACGAAAATTCCCCATTTATGTACTAACTCTCTGTCATTGTTTCTCACTCTTCACAGAACCCTTGAACCTCTGACAGATACCCATTCATCTCTATCAGAGCTCATCAAATAAATTCCAGTTTTATTTTTTAACTAATTTTTTCGGGTAACAGATGGAAATGGCTCTATCGCGCAGTTCTTTATCGTCATTATCCTCGAATCTCGTGAAACCTATGTCATCCATCTTATCGCTACGACGTCGTTCGATCTCCTCATCCTCGGAGCCCCTCACGGTAGAGACCTCCGTCCCATTCACCTCTCACAACTGCGACGCGCCCTCACGCTCCGTGGAGACCTCAGCCGCGGAGCTCTTCTCATTCTTCCGCGACATGGTGGTGATGCGGCGGATGGAGATCGCTGCAGACTCTCTCTACAAGGCGAAGCTGATCCGCGGGTTCTGCCACCTCTACGACGGCCAAGAGGCGGTGGCGGTGGGGATGGAAGCGGCGATAACAAAAAAGGATTGCATCATCACCGCGTATCGCGACCACTGCACGTTCCTGAGCCGCGGCGGAACGCTGATGGAGGTGTTCACAGAACTCATGGGGCGGCGCGAAGGGTGCTCGAAGGGGAAAGGTGGTTCAATGCATTTTTACAGAAAGGAGGGTGGTTTCTACGGTGGACATGGGATTGTTGGGGCTCAGGTTCCGCTTGGTTGTGGTTTGGCTTTTGCTCAGAAGTATTGTAAGGATGAGAATGTGACTTTTGCTTTGTATGGTGATGGTGCTGCCAATCAAGGACAGTTGTTCGAGGCGCTTAATATTGCTGCGCTTTGGGATCTTCCTGCTATTTTGGTCTGCGAGAATAATCATTGTGCGTGTTTGAGTTTTGGTTAATTAGTTAATTTGGATTTGGATTTGGTTTTATATTGTTTGGTTTTTGTGACAGATGGAATGGGAACTGCTGAGTGGAGGGCTGCTAAGAGTCCTGCTTATTACAAGCGTGGGGATTATGTTTCTGGATTGAAGGTTAGAGAGATTGATATTTTACGGCTATTGTTTGGTTTAAGGAAGTGTGTTATAAATGCTTCTATTTTCGCATGGGAAACAAGGTGAAAACGGGTTGCCAGTTTTGCAATTATCATTGAAAACACAATGTAGAAACAGAAAGCATTTTTTTAAACCTAACAGCGCTTAAGAGCTCCTGTTTGATGGTCTGGTTGTTGGTGAATGGTGGTGTGTAGTGCTGTTAAAGTTTTAGTTGTTGGATAACTAGAGGAATGATTTTGTTATGTTAATATTATCTTTGAGACTTTGAGGAAGTAATTACTTGTTAGGAATTATCTTTGAAATGATTGATGTTATGTTGGTCGAGGGGTGCAATTGCCCTTTCATCTCAGTTCAAAAGGGTACATTTGTCGCTGGGTTTTTCCAGCTGATGACCTAGGAGATATTGGTGGTGGTGCCCAATACAGCAATATCTGTCTAACTTTTGGTTGGACTGGAAGCATTTGGTGGTCGAATTACAATTATTTTATGCACTGGAGGGGTTTGAAGTTTGCACTATTCATGCAATGTTTTTCTTAAAACTTAATGGTTTAATTTGATGAAGTTTTGACCAAATTTTAGCTTAATGTATCATGTGAATGCCGTTAAACAATTGTGATCTGTTTGCTTATTGCTTAATTTAGTTTACCCTAGGTGTAAATTCTTGGTGAGGTTTTAAGGGATGGTCATGGTACGGAAGGTGTTGTCTTGGTCCTGTGTTGGTGCTACTTTCTTGGGCTCCTTACTTGGGTAGTATTCCTACTTTGATGCTTTCATATCAATTGCATGTTATGGCAGTAGAGCAGTGTGCTGCAATTCAGGTTGCTTCCAAACTGATGTAGCATTGCAATTTGCTGTTGCAGCAGCTATCCCTGAAATTTGCAATTGTCTCTGCTCCTTTAGCTCTCTTCTAATGCTTGCCAGTTCTTTCCTTATTTCCTTAATATTTTGATCCTCCTTGATCTCCCTTCTCCAATTTGCAATTTCTTTCTTCATTTCTCCACCAATGTCAACAATTTCCTTCTTCATTCTTGTTGACATCTGAACAGCTCTATAACTCACCATTATGCAGTACCCACAGCCATACATTTCCAATCAAGACTCACATTTTCTGGCGAGACCACTTTGTTTTGTTCTATTCTTCTTCTCTGTTCTGTTCTGACTTCTAAGAACCCCAAATTATTAAAATTTGAAATCTTCAGCATATAAATGTGTAGCATAATCTATATTTGGTGTATTTTAAATTCTCAGAATAGTAGTCATTCTGCTATTTGCTATTACAATATAGCGTTGTTGAGGTCAATCACTCCATGCTGCTATTTGAGATTGACAAATATGCTCACAGCTCCAAGATTGGAGCTCTGATACCAGTTGCTAGCATTGGATCAAAATAAATAAAATAGATGAAGAAAGATACAAAATGTATTATTCTCATGTACAACTTAGGGTATTTGAGATATCCTATTCTCTTCTCACCCTGAGTCTAATCTTTTCTAATTGGCAAGATATCCCTCTCTTAACCTCCCATCTTATTTATAGGCAACATGCCTTTTTCAAACCATCTCACCTACTAACTAATAGTATCTAGCTAATCTATTTTAACTAACTACTAATGGGGATTACCTAACAGATTATGCCTTAAATTGATGGTGATTGTGTTAGGACTGATGAGGAAAATGTCTTGGAAGAATAAGGGGAAGTCAAGGTACATTGGAATGATTGGGGCAGTTAGCTAGTCAGAGAAAGTTCAGTGTTATAAATAGGAAGAAATCAGGGTAGAAATGAGATATTCAGCAAATTTTATTTTGTGTGAACTGAGCTAGTGCGCAGTTGTAAAAGGGAATGAAGGAGCAGGGTAGTTAAAATCGGGATTTTACTTAAAATCGTTAAGAGAAGTAAAAATCGTAAATCGTAAAATCGTAAATCGAATCGTAAGATTTTACAAAAATTATATATACATGAATATAAGTTCATATTCTGCATATAAAATAGCTGAAATTAAAAAAAATATATTAAATCACTAAAAGTACTTAAATAATTCATATTTCATAAGAAAACTATTAAGCATAATCCACCAAAAAACAAGAGGAAGATGAGAAAAAAATAGCTAATGAGTAGGTTGGGGCAGAGAGAACCAGACAAATCGCCAAGAAGAAGAAGAGGACTTAGCTAACAGTGCACTTAAGGTTCAATGAAGAAGATAGGAACGCAGGACTCCTTCGCGCCTAATTAAAAAGCTGTGTCGGGCTCAGGATTTCATTCGCGCCTAATTAAAAGGCTGGGTGGGCTCGAATTATATACAATTTGGGCCGATTTGACGATCCGACCCGTGTTTGGCTGAAATCGGGAGTAAATCAGGATTTCACCGATTTCTCGATCTGAATCGCGATTTCACACCGATTTCAGTCAGCTCCGATTTTTGTTGCGCTCTAAATCGATTGGCTGGGATAAATCGTAAAATCGTAGGATTTTACGATTCGCATCCCGATTTTAACTACCATGTGAAGGAGCCTTCCCTCATTGAGCTGGAGCAACTTTGGTTACTGAACTTCCTATATACAAGAACAAGGGTGATATTCAAAATTGTGCAAATTATAGAGGGATTGAATTTATGAGTCACACTATGTAGTTTGGGTAATAGGTATACAAGTGTTTCACTACTCTGAATCAAACAGGTTCTGTAGAGGATTGTGTCCAAAAATTTGAAGCCTTGGTAGCTCAAGCTTCAGGGGTCCTTGAAGCACAACTTTAGGGATACTTCTTGGGAGCAAGGTTGTTAAACTCGAGAGTTTATGTAAACTCGTGGAGTGTTTGTAAACTGGACTCGTAAACTTGAATTGTAAACTTATAAGAGTCTACCTCATGTAAAAATAATATTTAAAAACTCATAATATTGAAATAAAGTTCAATAATGAAGTTAAAATCATACTTAAATAGGCAAATCATATAATGATAATGTGATTTTGGTGCCATAATTGTAAATTTGATGTTTCAAAACTTGCAAAGAGGGATGAAAAGTGGTGCTGTCATTCTAAATGGTGTTATTTTGGTGAAAAAATCATACTGGCAAATCATATAATGCTAATGTGATTTTGGTGCCATAATTATAAATGTGATATCAGAGAGGGAGGAAAAGTGGTACTCTCATTCCAAATGGTGTTATTTTGGTGAAAAAAAATGTGATTTTGCCTTTGTTTTGTTAAACTCGTAAAATAGGGTGTAAACTCATGAATTTACCTGATTTCACTTGATTTTACCCAAGATTATCCAAAAATGAGTTTACATGCAATTTGACTCAGTTTCCTTATCTAAGATCGTAAACTCATACGAGTTAAATCAAGCGTTTAACAACCATGCTTGGGAGGTATACAAATGAATAGAAGTGGAATGCAGTTTTTGGACTCATGATCCCATCGATATCTTGAAGGCTATCACTGTGGGCAGAGATTTTAATGAATAGTTGTGTGCCACTGGACTCATTTATGGGTCTCAACTTCAGGTTGCAACAATGAATTTTAAGGTCAGCTGGAGGATTGTGACTCAAATAGGCTTAATTGGGGCAAATCTGGTGGCTGATCCAGTTTGACGCAGGGACAATAATTGTTGGGATCAGTAAAAAATGCCTCTAATCTGGCCAACTATTCTGATGGGTGTGCATGGTCAGAATAAATTGCCAGTGTATTCAGTTTTTAGATATAAATTCCAAAACAAGCAGCAACCCCCTTGAAAATTAGGTATTCAACAGCTTCCATATTTGGAGTATGTTAGAAAGCAGGAAGAGGGGAGGTGCTTTCAATCTGTGTTATCAAATAATGGTTATGGCGCCGCTATAATGGGAATCGGTGGCGGTTTTCATGCTCTCCATTACATGCATAGAGTTTTATGGTATTTTCCGGTGGTGGCGCCAGGGCAGCCTTACGCGCATAGCGGAAGAATGATGATTTTGTAGAAAAATGGGTTTTTTTTTTTTTTTTTTTTTTGCAAAAAAAATAGGTTGGGCCGCAGACCCGACCTTGTCCAGAAAAAAGAACCCTTGAGCCCAACCCTAAAAATAACCATTGCCTCTCTTGTTCGTCTCGCATTTCTCTCTTCTTCGTGTTCTTCATTCATGGTTCAGCTTCCATCTTCTGCTTTCTGTTCTTGTTGAGTTTTGAATCTTCAACTCTTATTTTTCCAGTGACTGTTGCTACTGCAGCTCGGACAACAATTGCTCCATCTTTGACAACTGATGATGGAAGCAAAACAGAGACAGATCAGGGAAAGGAGCCACCCCCAAACCAAAGACAGAGACATGCCCACGAAAAAAACAAAAAGAGATGGGATATCTAAGAAGGTAGCATGGAAGAGAAGTGGAGAAGAAAATGGATTAGGATGTAGTCTGATAAACCTATTTTACCCTTAAAAAAACTTAAAACATGGTTATTTTGAGGGGAAAAAGAGAAAGTTATTTTGTTTTAAAGGGAAAAGCCTTTTTTACCCTTAAAAAATCCTAAAAACTGTGGGACAGAAAAGAAAAGTAAATATTTTTACTTGCCCTGTTGCATCGGGGACAGAATCCAAAATAGAGTAGCAGAAGATGAAAAGATAAATAAAAATAGAGAAGACAACATAACAGAAAATTTAAAACTGTTTATTTTGTATTGAGTTATGTTTTAAATTGTGGGTTAAGCTACTTATGTTTTGAGTTAATTCCTTTTTATCATTTCCTATGACCTTTATATATTTTTTATATATTTTATTATATTTGTTATAATTCTGCCACGACCTGCCATTTGCCATTAATAACCTTGCTTTCAACGTGACTTGACATTTAGTCTGAGGTTCAGATGTCTAGAAAGGAGCATGCAAGTAATGCCACTTATTGTTTTTGTGGAAAATGAGAAATTGGATGAAGAAGAGGGAAAATAGTAACACAAAAACTATCTTACTTTTTGGCAACTTTCAACCTTGAAAACAAGGTTGAACTTTGAGGAGGTGATTTTTTAGGCATAGGAGTAAAATGGTATTATTTGGAAGTAAAAATGAGTCATAGTAGTTAGGAATAGTTAGGGTCAATGTTGTCAAGATCGAGAGAGGGGTAAAAGATCGTAAATTGTAGATCTTAAAATAGATTATAAGATTTTACCAAAAATGTAAAATTGTACTTAAATATATGTATAAGCATATATATTAACATAAATAAAAAATTAATATTAAATCACATAATTAAAAAGTTATATTATTTAAAAAAAATTATTTAAATAATATTTAATAATCAATATTTATTTCTCATAATAATCCAATATTTTCACCCAATTAATGGCTTATATTAATGGGAGAAAATAAAGTTGCTTTACAAAAGAATGGGAACTTTGTGCCAATGCAGGCTTAGTTGACCAAAGAACACAGAGAACACCCAAGCGCAGAGAATGCAAACCACTCACGTAGAAGCACGCAACACAAAACCACTCATGCAAAAGCACAAACACGAAGAAGATGTCACTCACGCAGAAGCACAAACACAGAGAAAAGAAAGGAAGTGGTCACTGTGCATGAGATAGGGTTCCAATAGTGTAAGCGTGTCAAAAAACTATTGAGAAATGAGTTTTTTTAAATTGGGAAATCCGACTTGAACACTGGAAAGTATCACACAATCTTATTGGAAAAGATTGTGATCCCAAGTGATCCTAGAGGGGTTTGATCTTCTGTATGGTCTAGATCGTGGAGGGTGAGAAAGATCGTGGGATCGTGCGATCTCATGATCAAGATCCCGATCTTGACAACACTAGTTAGTGTACTTAGCCAGTTAGAGCAAGTTTAGATAGATAAACTGGTTTAGTAAGGTTAGAAAAGAGGCATTCAGGAAATCTTATGCGTGAATGGAGCAAGTATTCAATTATTCAATTGTAGAATTGGAAACCCTTTGTGAAGGGAAAACCCCTGGAGGAGAGTTTCTCTCCTTGTTCTATTTAATTTTAATCAATAAAATCATCCTTTTCTTTTCTCCATTCTTATCGGGAATTCCTAACATTGTTTGTTTAGACTAATACTTTTCATTATTAACAGTAAGTGTCTTTATTTATGGGTAAATTTATTTTGATTTTGAGTATTTATAATGTATAGCATAAATAAAATATTCATGTTGTATCTAAAACTCCAGTACAGTATAGTGTGGTGTTTCACTATCTGCTGTACTGCCATATCAATTTTGTTGCTGGTTCGCAGTTGTGTTGGCTTGCAATCCAAGACTGAGAACTATGATATATAATTATATACATGTGCTGATTGAATATATGTAGTAGCATTTTCTTAAACTATCGTTTTGAAATGTTAGAAATAAATATTTATACTTTGTACAGGTAGATGGCATGGATGCTCTTGCCGTGAAACAAGCTTGTAAATTTGCAAAGAAACACGCTTTGGATAATGGCCCCATTGTGAGTAAATTTACTTGCTGTTATTTGTACTTGTATTTCTAAAATTTATTATTTGCCTTTAGCAATGGATGTTATGGGTTGATAAATCGACTTAATGGTTGACAAAACTATTTAGATTAGTAGGGATCAATCATGATTATTTTATTGGTCATCAAATCATCAAATTAGTTTTAGGACCTGATGAATGCTTGATAGAAATCCTTATCTGGTGAATTAGCCATGAAAGTTTTATTAGACATCAAGCTAGATTTAGGCCATAGAATTTGCAAATGTATAGTCCATCCTTTATAAATGTTGGGGCACCTGGAAGAGATGAATCTGGTCTTCTCGTGTGGGTAATGTGCATTCAATACACTTTTGTAGTATCTGATTTTTGTTTCACGTAACCTGGGCATATGCTTCTGCAAACTAATTTCAGTATTTGCCTGCTTTTTGGGATATACTTGAATAATTACATTTAGTTTTGTTAATTCTTGATGTCTATTCACTTAAAGTAGTCATAAGTTTTATATGTCAATTATAAGTGCTTTTCTTTTTCTTTATTGGTGCTGATTGCCTGATTCATCACAAGAAACATACTCATTTTGTATATAATGTAGTTGTTTGAAGTAACGCACATTCTGTTCTTGGAAGAGGGGATCGCTTAGGTTTTATTGCTTCAAGCATTATTCCTCCAATCTATACAGCACAAACTCCAACACAGAACACTGTAACACAGCTTAAGTCTAAAATATAGGACACTAGGACACCACCTAATAATAATAATAATAATAATAATAACAACAATAAAAATAATGATAATAATAATAAAAATATTAAAAGACATTGCTTTACAAAATAAGCACTTGGTCATTTTACAATAAAATCTCAAATTATGGTAAAATTATTTCACATTCATCTTCTCAAATCAATATACTAAGTTGTATGATTTTTCTATAATAATGAGTCGCAAAAACAATAAAGTCTAGAAACATTATTTAATATTTTACATTATTAAGTTAACTTTTTAGAAGGTATAAAATGATTTTTTTTTTCTAATAATGCTAATGTGTGTTCATCTATATTGATGTCTTGGCTTAAGTGTCCAAACTGATAAAAAATAGTTTTTAAACAAACACCTAATGAGGAGTGTCATACCCGTGTCAAACAAGTGCTTGAGAAGAGTCATTATCAAAAATATGTCCAACACTGCGTCACTTCAAACAAGAGAGATGTCTGTACTTTGTAGCCTCCAATTGATGGGTAACGTGGTTGGAGCAGTTCATCACATCTGATTTTCTCCTTGGTTTTCATGGTTATAATTAAGTGGATACCAATTGCTTGTTCAATAGGACTTGTCGTCCTAAGAACCATGGACAGTGCATGACATGCATGACACAAGGAAAAATTTGGAATGTTGTGTTAGAGACTTAAAATCAATCACAAACCTCATCTAACATGTTAAACTAATTGGATAGTTGATCCATGACATGGTATTAGGGTCTCCTTGATCAAGTGTTTAGGAGTTTGATCCCTGAAGCAGCCATTCTTCTAAATATGAAGTACTATTTCAGCTCAAGGTAGAGAAAGTCTTTGTAGCCTTAACGCCTAGCAGCTCCATGTCCAGGAGTGTGTTAGAAATATAAAACCAATCATGAGCCTCACCTAATAAGTTAAGATTTAAGGAGAGTTGATTACTGATTTGGTCCATTAGAATTTGAAGTATCATGTGTTCTGAAATATGTTGCTTTTGGATCATCCTTTTTTTCAATTTATGGAGTTGACTGTTTACTCTGCACTAGGGAAATTCCTTTCTTGATTCAAATAAATTGTATGAAATGCTTGATCATACAAATTTTGTGTCATTTGACAAATGATCAGAAAAAGAAGCCACTGGGAAGCAATTTGTCTTCCATTAAACCAGTTTGAACCTTAATGGAAATGAATGGTTTTGCTGGAATGTAGTCAAGCGTTCTAGTTAATTTATCCAGTCTACTTTTGGAAAGATTTTATTAATTTATTTTAAATTAGTCAATCATGTAATCTGCTGAGAAGAAAGAGGAATGTGAGACATAGAATGAATTTGTGTCTAAACTACACAACAAAACATTTATTTATAATAGTAGTAATTAATAAACGAATTGAATGACGAAATATACAGTTACCTAATTATCAAAATTACAAACATATTAACTTTTCTATTTACAATATTGCTATAATTATATATTTCCGATATCCCCCTTGGGATAAAGTGTATAAATCATATGTACCAAATTTGCCACATTTATAACTAATCCAAAGACTTCTTAATGACTTGGTGTAGGCATATGCCAATTGATTATTAGAATTTACCAAGTTGGTGGTGATATCTCTAGATAAGATTTTTTCTCTAATGAAGTGATAGTTTATCTCAATATGTTTAGTCTTCTAAAAAAATTGGCTTTGAAGCAATATGCAAGGTTGTTGATTATTGCAAATAAGTGTCATCTATGTAACCTCCTCCAATCTCAATTCGTTGAGCAACTATGACTAAAGTTATGACTCGATACTCTACTTTTACACTAGACCATGTAACCTCATTTTGTTTACACTTTTCCAGACAATCAGATTACTACCAATAAGGTTGCAGTAGCCAAATGTAGACCTATCACTAGGTGATCGTACCTGATCTACATTTGAATACCCTACAAACTGAGTATGTCCTGTCTTCATATAAAAGACCTTTTCTTGGAGCCCTTTCAATACATTTCAACATGCAAATTACTTCATCTCAATGTCCACAAGGAAAGTTAAGCAACTGACTTATCACACTGTTTGCAAAAGAGATGTTTGGTCGAATAACAATCAAATAATTAATTTTCCAATAAGTCTTCTATATGTTTTTTGGATAAAAAAGTGGCTCTCCTTGACTTGGCAAAAGTTTGGTATATTAGGATCTATAGGAGTATCAACAAGTTTGGCCCCCATTAATCCTGGTTTTTTTAGGTTATTCATTGCATATTTTCTTTGAGAAATCATAATACCATTTTTGGTTTGTGTCATCTCAATTCTTAAGAAATATCTAAATCTACCAAGATCTTTTGTTTGGAAGTGGTGACTAAGGTGTTTCTTTACTTTTTGAATGCCATAGTGATCATTCTCTGCAATGAAGATGTCATTGACATACACGATTAAGTAAATACAACTTGAGACCAAATGACAATAAAAATAGAGTGATTAGTTTCACACCAAATTGTTGAACCACCATGTTAAATCTACCAAATTATGCCTTTGGAGATTGTTTGAGACTTTATAAGGATTTTTAAAGATGACAAACAAGTCTGGAAGACTCTTAAATAACAAGTCTAGGAGATAGTTTAGTATAGACTTCTTCTGCAAGATGACTATGAAGGAAAACATTCATAATATCAAGCTGTTAAAGGGACCAATGATGGATAACAATCATTAACAAGAATAGTCGTAGGGATGTCATTTTGGCACTAGGAGAAAAACTGTCATCATAGTCTAAGCTATATATCTGCATATAACCTTTGGCTATCAAGTGAGCCTTAAGGTGACTTTATCATCAGGATAAACTTTGACTATGTAAATCTACTTTCAACCAACGAGAGATTTTCTAGGAGAAAGAGGAACAAGATCTCAAGTATGGCACACATTTCATTGAGCATTTCTTGTCTTCAACCTGGATGTGAGAGAGTATCATCGGTAATCTTAAGAATAGAAACAGAAAACAAAGAATATAGACAGGTATAATGAAAGGGAGATAAGTAATGGTAAGTCCAAGAAACACTATAAGGAGAAAAATTTCTAGTAGAGTTATACCTAACGAAGGACAATAAGGAGCTCAATCACAGGAGGCAGTTTGGAGGGGAGAGAGTGAGTGACACTAGAGGCAAGTCTAAAAGAGGCCTATTGGTAGCTGGGGGTGGCACAAATGGTGGCTAGTGTCGATGGTGATACACCTACAAAGGTTCTTCTAGAATAATAGATGAGGGTGGTGGAAGATAGTGGAAAGTAATAGAAGAGGGAGGAGGTAAAGAAACAAATTCAGAAACAAAAGTGGGAGGACTAGGAGTAAAGGAAGGGACAAATTTAATGAAAGTGACATCAGTCAAGACCAAATAATGAAAGGGTTAGAAAATACACTTGTAACCTTTTTGAGACTTAGTGTAACTAAGAAAGACACATTTATAAAATTGAGGTGAGAGTTCATCAAGCTCAAGACTAAGGTTATGAACAAAGCTAGTGGACTTGAAGACATAAGGAGATAAAGGGTGGAGAAACTTGTGAGAATACAAAACCATGTGAGGTATTTGGTTTTGAAAAATAAATGACATCCTATTAATGAGGTAACAAATAGTAAGAGTAGTATCACTCTAGAAGAGATGGAGAACAGGACAATGACATAATAGAGTATGAGCAATTTCAATTCAATGTTTATTTTTTCGTTTAGCAACCCCATTCTATCGGGAGGGGGATATGAGCACATGAGGGTGTCATGAAGGATGCCATTAGAAGCCATAAAATTTTTAAAGGAATGAGATAAATATTCACTAATCACGAGCATTATTACTTTGTAAGGTACAAATTGAAATACTGAATTGAGATTTAAGTTCAAGAAAGAAAGAAAGATTTGAAGATAGAAAATAACTCAAACTAATCTTTCATTAAAAATATACATCTAGGGCAATTATCAATGAAGGTAACGAAATATTTGGACCCTAAAATGGATGCAATACGACTGAGACCCCATACATCAGAATGAATTGAAGCAAATACAGAGGTAAAATGATGATTAACACAATTAGTCAAAGAACTACGATTATGTTTTTCTAAATGACATAACTTACTTGACAAATTGGATAATTTTGAATGACTTGGTAGTTGGTACCGATTGTTATAAGTTGGCTAGACTAGGATGTTCTAGCTGAGCATGAATTAGAAGAGGAAAATCTACTACCAAACTAGCATGAGCAGATATATTTAGTTGATAGGAGCCATGAGACTCACATCTGGTTGTATCATCCTCCCTGAACTCCTATCTGACAGGAAAACAAAATCTTTTGTGAAAGAAATGATACAATCAAGTGAACAAGTAAGATGATTGATTGATAGCAAGTTAAAAAGAGACCCAAGGACATAAATGACATGATCCATTGAAATAGAAGGAAGAGAGTGAATAGTACCAAGCCCTTGAAATTGTGTTTGAGACCAGTTAGGCATACTTATAAAAGGTAAATACATAGACGTGGAGATAATAGAGAAAAGAGACTTATGACTGGTAATTTGATATGTAGCCCCAGAACCAAGGGCTCATGAAGAAGAATGAAACTCACCAACAAAAGAATTACTCATATGTGCAACAAAAGCAATGGAACCAAAGGCCTAATGCTGTACAGAACAGTGCTGAACAGTGCTAAATATCCAAAAAATGAGTGTCACACAATACAAAACAAACCAACATGGATAGATCTAATTATTGTGTCACACAACACAAAACTAAACAAAAAAGCATGTAGTTATAATAGGAATAATCAATACATGAATTAAGTAACGAAATATTCAGTTACCTAATTATTGTAATTACAAAGATATTAACTTTTTTATTTATAGCCTTACTATAATTACATATCTTTGACATAATCTATTATTGATAGTTTGTATTCTTAAGAGCATATGCTTTGTTTTGAGCATATATTCTTGTCATTCCATCTAGTGCAGAAAGATGTTATCCTCAAATGTGAGGCTGTTTGACTTTGTCCAGTAGCAATTACCTTTTGTTCTTGTTTAACCTGTAGTACATATAGCTACATTTGTTGCCTAGATGAAATGAAATTTTTGAAGTTATATCATGATTGATTTCTCTGTCTTGATTATTTTGTCCAGATTCTTGAAATGGACACATACAGATACCATGGCCACTCCATGTCTGATCCTGGCAGCACATACCGCACACGTGATGAGATTTCTGGTGTGAGACAGGTATATTACTATGACCATAATTGAATGCTCTGTTAGTTTAATTATTGTTGAAGGCTTTATTTCTCTATCTGTATTTTCTCCTCTCCAATGTGATTATAGGAGCGTGATCCAATCGAGAGAGTAAGAAAACTGCTATTGACTCATGACATTGCTATTGAAAAGGAGCTAAAGGTGATTGAAGGAAGTTTGTATTCATGCTCTGTACTTTCAATTGTAAAATGTGATGTCTGTCTGTTTTCTATGAAATACGTTTGCTTTCATCTTGAGTTCTGTGATCAAGTTTTTCCTGGCATATTGATATCTTACTTTCAAGTTTCCAGTTCATGAATATAAACAATTTTCTTTATTATGATGCCTGGCATCTAGGAATGAATAAATTTTATGTTTTAGATAATATACTTCCAATTGTTGGTTTTCTGAAATTTTATAGTTTTTTCTTTTTGTTATGAATAGCTAGAATAGACGTATTAGGATTAGGGTTTATTTTAATATTATAATAACGGGCTTGATCCAGTAGGGTTACATATCTATTCTTATAAATATAAGGGTCTTTATACATTGTAGAGTATCTAATTCCAGCACATTAATTTGTCTCTTTTTTTCTCTCTACGCTCTTTCTCTCTTAATCTCTACACTTTTCATTATACTTTGGCTATAAAATAGTTGTCATGGAATTGGAGTTCCCATAGGTTACCTACTATGGGGGTTGGTAGACTTTTATTATGGCAGTTCCTTCTTTATCTTTATTCTGCGTATAATTACTTCTGGTATGTGGACGTGTTTGTCTATCTAGAATGATGTGTCATGATTTTCTTAACAATTCAATGTAACTGTCACCAATTTTCTGCCCATTGGGTTCTAGGATTTCAACTTTTTATTTATTTTATTTTTTTTGTGGGGTGGGGGGGGGGGGGGGGGGGAAGGAAGCTTCTTGTTTATCTTGCAAGTGTCTTGATATATATTATGTTGGACAAGCAGTGGTATTAGGAAAGCTCAAAGTATGGCCCATGTGGCACAGGAATATTTGCAACGAGGATGAATTCATAAATAAAATCATGGCAAGCTGAGAGTGGGAAAGAGGCAAGGCATTCAGTGATTGAGTGTTAGGGCCAAAGTGTTTAAAGCTCCAATTGGGGCAACAGGACGTAGACTGGTACAACTCAGTCATGAGCCTAAGATTTGGCAAGTTTCTACCAGGACGGGTAGGAAGGGAAATGAGTATAAGGAGGGTAAGCTGTCACAGTTAGTTTGCTTTGGGAAAGGGGTCTGTCACGTGTAAGACTCTTAATATGGGCAGTCGAGGCTGGTGTGTGAGATAATTTTTCATTGTTATTTTCTTTTAGCTTTAAGCTGGGCAATGGTGCTTTGCATTCTTGTAAGGAGCTATACTCTGGGATTTTTTTTTCCTTGGCTCCTTATTTTCTTGAAGAAATCAAATTTCTTATCATATTATTTTGATGAACCATTAGAATTTAATGCTTGACATATTATGCACTTTCTTTTTTTAGGATGTTGAAAAAGAAGTAAGAAAAGAAGTTGACGAAACCATTGCCAAAGCAAAGGTGAAGCCATATCTTGATTGTTTTTTCTTCTCATACTAATTTAGGTATTCCATACATTTTCATCTTCGGCAGTTCTCTCTTGTGATTCACAATCTGAGTTGTGTTCTTTTCTGATTTTCCAGGAATGTCAAATGCCAGATCCATCTGATCTATTTACCAATGTATATGTTAAAGGTTTAGGTATTGAGGTAGTGATCATTTCATCCCTGTTCATTCTTTTATTATATCATATTCAAAATACCAAATGTTAACATGCTTTCGAAGATAAGGATAAAGTTGAAAAGAACAATTAGTACTTTATTAATTTCATAAAGTGAAATGACGAAGCCAATTAAACCTCTAAAATGATAATTATTTTGAACTGGAGGGAATAATATTTTAGAGTTTAGATATTTGGAATCATGAAGGAACGACTTCACTTTATATTACAATGGATAGTTGGATTTAATTTCTAGACAGTTCATGTGGCTTTCTTTTGGAGTTTGAAGGGAGAGGGAAGCAAAAGATTTTATGGATAGGAGGAAAGAGGGGGAAAGGAGGCTAAATCTCTCTCTTATTCCAATGTTAATGTTTATTATGATTTTTTTAAAGAAAGACCCTGACTAGAGAACTTAAAAGTTACATGTAAGTGGTTTTGGAGGGCTTCTAAAATTTTCCTACTTTTCAGGAGTAATTTTTATTAAAAAACCCACCCTCCCCTTTTCACCAAATCAAACTGACAAACAGAGCCAAAGTGCACAAAACAAAGAGGGCCCGGGTTTTTAAAATTACAAGAAGATGAGATGCAGATGCTGTTACATTCAAGTAGGTAGCAATTATTTGTTACTTGGTGGATGATGTGGTTTATTCAACTCTATGTTTGGTGATTTCTGACTTGCAGGCGTGTGGCGCTGATAGGAAAGAAGTTAGAGCTACTTTGCCCTGATGGAAAACTTTTTCCTTTGCAATTCTTTTCCCCATAGTTCCTGACCAATCAAAATAATCGAGAATAAATAGTTCAGAAGATCATCTCTTACTATTTGTTGAGCTTTCCACAATTGTATATGACATGGATTAGCAATGCGATGGAAATTATTAGATTTCGCCTTGTAATTTTGGAGGACCTGACTGTCACACCCTTACTTCAATTGATTACGCATGCGACTACTATCCTGCAAATTTTGAGGATTTCATTGTGCAAAACTTCCATTATTGGTGGCAAAATTTTGCCATTTCATTTTTCTTTGGCATTCATCAGATTGTTCATTTGAAACCATTTTTTGGGTATTAAAAATTCATCTTTCTTTGGACAGTTTTTAACAATTTCACGGGTGTACATTGCAGATTGAATTGTTTATACAGGTGCTTTTAGTAATTTGGATGATGCTAATTTTCTGTTCTTGCTCTTTGCTTCCCTACGTTATGTCTGGCTGTATAAAGTGAAAGCAATTGCACCTTGTCATTGAAAATCATTAAGCACGAAATTTTTCATATGATAATATTCTTAAATAGCCTAATTTGGTTTTATCAGAGGTTACATTTCCAGTCAAATTATTTAAGCTGAACAGATTTGTTTGGCAAATTTTATTGATCTTGTAAATTTTATAGGGAGTAGAATTAAGGCCTTATTTCTCAAGTTGGGACTATGTTCGATGTTGGTCTTTCAAGTTTCCATTTAATTTAATTAAGTCTCCGGCTCTAAAGTAAAGTAATTTTCTTTCTTTCATTTATTATTTTACTTGAAAATCTTTAAATTATGTTTTATTTAAAGATCTGAGTGTAAATAATTGATTTTAGAAATGAAATAAGTTTTTAAGAGTTTAGAATCAAGAAAATTAGAAAAATTTTGATAAAATTTAAAGAAATTGTTAAGATATGAGATTAAGATTTGAAGAGGAAAAGTTTTAATATTTTTTAATTTTTGGTGTAATTTGATTTTTATTTTTATTTTTTACCTATTGATTTTTTATAGAGAAGATAATTTAATTGATTTAATTCGTAAAGTTTTTGCTTAGAAAATGAAAATTTAGGTAAAACAGTGTTGATGATGTTAAATTTGTTTGAATTTATAATTAAATAGACTTAATTGGTTAAAAAAAAGATCAAAACTGAACATAAGTTAAAGATTACAAATGCAATTATATTTAAAATTAATTTTGAGTGAGAAATAAATAATTTCAGCGGTTGACGTGAATATTTTAAAATATTATTTTATACAAGTTATTTTTATCATTATTTTTTTAAAATTAGATTTTTAACTTAAATTCTTGTAAAATTAATTTTACACAATTTAGAACAATTGAACTAGGCAATTCGCAAAAATGTAAACAGATATGAATTTTTCAATAGTTTTTTTTTTTTTTCACGTGGTGCTGTGACAGCAACAGATGTTATAATAAGAAGACTTCAACAAGTACAACCATCCTCTTACATGCTGAAGATATCCGATGCGCTTTGATATGGAGAAAATTTAGCTTTCTCAAATCAGAATTAAACTTCAATGAAGGTTGACAAATAGTTCAACTAGCATTAAAAGTCAATACAAGTTGACCAAAAAAAAGAAGTAAATGCATGTTATGGAAATGTTAATATGTATCATAATTAGAGAATAGTATCATAATTACATTGAATGAGTGCTGAAGTTTTAAGATGTTAATAAAGATAACAAATCTTTGAATGATGATTGACACACATCATATGCATGGTAATGATGTGATTGTAGAAGCAACAATCTAGTTCAATTGCGGGATGTTTGAGTGTTCTAGTTCTTGTAGAATCTTAAGGATGGTCCAGGGGTGATGCTCCAATGGTATAGAATAACTCCCGGTTGACTGAGCCAGTTGCCTTCAAACCTTCATCATCCTGGTTTGAGCAATCATTACCATGATTATGGTAGGTTCATTCCCAAACTCACCCATGGGACATATATTTTGTCATGACTTTGTGCTTGTACTAGTAGAGAATGAAGTCATTCAATTGCTTCTAATCAATGATGGTTGTGCAATGTATTGAGACAATGGCGTATTTGAGTTAGCATGCATGTCATAAGACGTAAATTAAGAAAGATAACTCATAATTGAACTTGCATTATTCATTGCATTATGCATGAAACTTTTGTTTGGTATTATGTATGTGTATGATTATTGTATAGTGTGTTAGTGGTATTTTTACTGGGAAAAGTAACATGTGAAATAAATACAAGAACGTAAGTTCACCCTTTGTGTTTGTTATTTTTTATCTCTCCTTTCTTTACTTTTATAACCACGTAGGCATGATAGGTGAGTCATAATATGATGAGGATTTGCGTACCAGAGGGCTGACAAGGTACTTATGTCAACGAGGTCGATTTGAGTATCATTTGCCTTATTCTCTTAATTCCACCCCTACTACACAATATGAGCCTATTGACAATCCACTTGAGAAGCATGTACCACCTCTTATTCCTGTTGTCAACCCTGTTGATCCACCAATTGATACATATCCTACTCATCTACAAGTGCCACCACATGAGTCTGCACCTGTGTTTGACCTTGAGCCTATATGAAAGGACATCCATATGGTTAAGCCTTTGGTGAGACTACATCTATCGTCAATGTCCTTATTTATTGCTAAAGGATCTGACAGGACTGGTCCTTCACAACGATGTCCCTCTTCTTCTTCATTGACACATCTGTATCCTCACTTATCGCAACCTACTTTCAATTGGATAGCCGACGACAGTGAGATGGAGATGGGGCGCTAGTATAAGCCAACTAGCGATTCTGAGGAAGATTTAGACGATGATGACAACATAGCATGGGGTCGATTCTACAACAACGACTAAGTTGTGATAGAGTAACGTTTGGGTGGAATTAAGAGACTAATAAGGCAGGGGATTAGATATGATTATTGCTCTCTGCAGGTTCCTTGTTACGTATTTTCATTCATGTATTTTTGGATTAGAACTTGATGTAATTTTATCTTTTCCTTATGTATCTCTTGGGGTAGTTAGTAGTTTTAGTTTATACTTCGGGGCATGTGCCAAAAATTTAGTTCCTTTATTTTATAATATTTTATATTTATCAATTTGATTAACATGCATTGTGAGATATGTGTGACCTTTATTTGGTGTAAGAGGATTTTAACATGGTTATGTTATTGCTTGTATTAATTATTTTATTAGATATATTTTGTTATATATATATATATATATATATATATATATATATATATATATAATATAGTAGGGAGGAAATAAGAGATCTTACATATATGATCGCTACTTTACAGTAAAATCATAATAGACTACAATTTATTTTATAAATTATAATTCATAGACTTAGGGTAGGAATTCTATTAACAAAATGTTCTAATAAAGTTAGTTTCAGTGGTAGGCAAACTTATTCCTTAATTTTTTATTTAATTTATGTAATAATTTATAAAAAGAAAAGAAAAGTAAAATAAATTTCTTTATACTTATAGCATGCAATTTGAAAGAAAATTTAAATTTTTTACTTTTATTATTCAACTTTTGAAAATGTTCAAGTATTTGAAAGATATACGATAAACCTTGACCAATACATTATAAATTGTTACATAAATTTATACTTGAACAGCAAGAAAATATACACATATACATTGGATTTACATTCAAATATAAAAATTTGATATTTATGGATCATAATTCCAAAATACATAACTAAATTGTAACCCTCCTATTTTTTTATAAATCATTTTATGATAATTTATAAAGAATTTAAGATCTTAGTTAGATTATTATTTTACCATTTCTAAATTTTAATAAGAGAAATCTTATAAAAAATTTAATAACTATTTAAAATGATAGAATTTAAAACATAATAAACATCTTTCATCATAATATAACTTACTAATTAAAATAAAATTTGAATCACAATAAGCAATTACTTCATTTGTATTACTAGAATATATATAAGTAGTAGTACAATATTTACAAGTTATGGTCGAAATACATTAAAACTCAAATTAAATAATTACAATAAGAAGAAAACTAAAATATATTAGATCCTAATAAGCATATCACTTATACACCAAAATTCAAAAAATATGATCTTAGTTTAGATTAATCTAACCAGTCTTCTTAGAATAGTCATACTATATTTCTTTTGTAAGTAAGGATGAATCTTTTTCTCATCACTGAAAATCAAATTAAAATAATGATTTAATGAATTCTCAACAGATCAAACACTAAGGCAATCGCATCAATAATATTTTATAACATATATTAAGGTCATACATTTTTCATTGACCAGTATGTCACAATACATATATTATATCATACTAATCAATATGTCACAAAACGTGTGTTATAATCGTATGATTATAATATATCAGTTGTATCATATTAATTAGTGTAATTATAATATGTGTTGTAATCGAACTTGTTGACGTATTACAACACATATTATAATTACACTAATTAATATGATACAACTGATATATTATAATCATACAATCATTGTGTTAGAACACATCACAATTTCACAATCATTGTTCCTGATATCCTTTGAGGTCTTCCATAAGTATAGATAATTGTTGGTTAGTTATAGCAATACGGATACAACGTGTGTCAACATTTTTAGCAAAAATATAATTAGGAGTTTAAGTCAGAAAATGAGTGTGAAGTCTGTGATATTTTTTATACTCATTAATTATACGCATCTAATGAAACTCATTTATCATCCTACATTTACCTATTTCCCAAATTGTCTCCGTCTTCCTATAGTCTTAATGTATCTTTATAGCTATTCATACGTATCTTTATCACCTTTCGTGATAGTACAACTTTCATCATTTTCTTTCTCATTTCTCATTATATAATTATCATTTTTATCGTAAAATCATGCCAAAGGTTAGATACTTTTAGACTCAATTCAATTAATATATTTTCAAAAATCATATTTCCACTTCATTCAAAAACAATCAAACATATATCAACTTTCAAACAAAGATCCATAATCACGATAATATGCCATTTAAATACAGTTAAATCATTGAACAATTTGCCAAAGATCAGACACCTCCAGACTCAGCTCCATCACATTAACATGCTATAATCACTTTAAAATATAAATCCTCGATGCTAGGTTTGAAGTACATCACTATGCAATTATTTTGTATTCCGTATTTTTTATGTCACATGTAAATTTCTCAAAATACAATATATCATGTAATCATTCATTTTTAAGTTTATATTTTTGAAATAAACATCATATAATCACATACCGAACAAAC